TTTTTTTTTTTTCTCACTTCTGTTACTCTTGTTTAGATGTTATTCCTGGTTTGTGTGTCTGTCTCTTTTTCTCTTCCTCTACTATTTTCCATTTCTTTGTCTTTTTACTCTGCATTCTGTAGATTCACTGAACTTTTTCTTCTAACCTTTTAGGTGAAATATAGATCTGTGCTTTCTTATTTTTCATTTCCACGAGCTCTTTATTATTTAATGTTCTTACAATTTTCTGTTCTTATTTAATGGATACAGTATCTATTCTGAGGATTCTAGTGACCTGATTGGATGTTTGGTTTAGGGGTGTGTGTGTGTGTGTGTGTGTGTGTGTGTGTGTGTGTGTGTGATTTCTTTTTACTGCATATTCTTTGTTTCCTGTAAGTCACTTGTTTTCTGTTTATTTTGGCATCTGGTTTTCATACTAACAACTTTCCTTGAGGTCCTATGATGTTTGGCTGCCTGCTCACATTTAAGAGATAGTACCAGAAAACTAATGGGAAAATTTGGATGCATGGCTGTAGCTTGTTGACTGTGATCTTCATTTTAGGGTGATCTCAACGGGGAACCTAGCTGACACCAACATTGGCATTCTTTAGTCTTTCCTCTAGGACTGACCATATTTCCAAAAGAAAGCTCAATTCTGTTATCTAGCTTCCAAAATTCTAGAAGTCAGGTAGATAGAGAAGTGTAAAAGGTCTCAATATTCAGTATACAAGTACTTACTTAATGCACTGATAATTAACTCTAACCATACTCTCTGTCCAGTAGCTCTCAGGCCAGAGGCAGCTTGTGTTACTTTCTCCAGGGAGTAAACCACTAGACTTCTGGGCTGGGGCAGGACAATCATGTGCCTCAATAGAATACAGAATGGTCAGGATGCCAAACTGCTTCTCACAGACTTCGACCTGTTTTCCTATTTCACCTTCACGTTGCTTCCAGTGCCATCTGGGACCATCATCCCAGAGTCTTGTCAGGGTTTGTGGTATAAATTATGTTGCTTCTAAGTTTTCTCCACTGTTTATCTTTTCTCAGCTTCCTCAGTAGTCTGTTACCAATTATTCATCTGCTTTCCTGCTTTTAAAATCAGTTGTTGTTGTCTCTTCTATCAGATATTAGTCCTTGTAGATTTGTGCTATTTAAAAAATCTCTTTATTCTCATTTTGTGGAATTTCAGGAGACGGTGAAAATAAATGCTTATTTCTAATTCACCATCTTCAACAAAAAGGGACTCTACTTCTATTTTTAATCTCAAAGGCTTCGCAGTTTTTCTTTGACCTTCGCTATAACCCTCACTTGATTTGTTTTTAAAATATACAAGAAGCTGTCTTAACTGACCTTCACATAACTGGTGGGCCAGATTAATGAATGCTCTCCATTTCCTCTGTAAAATACATAATGGATGCCACTGCAAGGACCAAAAAGCTACCCTGAAGTGTATCTGTGCACTTCTGCTCCCACCACCTGAATTGTGTGTGCTCGCAGGGGTCAGTTTATTCCATTTTAAAGAAATAGAAGCTGGAAATAGTAGTTGATACATTATAGTGGGGTCATAGAAGAAACATACCATGGAACTCTAGTAGGCCATATCAAAAGCTAATGAATGAGTACAGAGTTTAATTTAAAGTACAGTGTTTATGCTTTGCATCCTTTTTGTTACGATTCTCTGCTTTCATTTTGCTGAGTTAAATGGACAAGTGCTACCCGAAATGTATTGCATAACGGCTTGTTTTCAAATAACATAGAAAGTCATTATACCCTATGGGTCAAATGTATGCTTCTGTGGTGTTGCATGCTGAATTTTCACATACTTCACAAGATAGTTGTTTTTGCTTAGTTCCAGATGTTGAAGTGAAAGGTGAGTGCTCCAGCTATTATCTCCTGTTACAAGGTGCTGGCAAGAGAAAATGTAAAGCCACCTTGATTCACTCAGCCAACCATATCAATGGCTCATTTGCACTCCGTTTCATTCATGGAAAGATGAAAGCAAAGACAGAAGAAGCCAAACTGAGTAAGTGTTGATTTCAGGTGGAAAACGTTTTATATTTGTTTGTATATGTAGTTAAACCTTATGTGGTTTTTAGGGGGCGCCTGGGTGGCTCAGTCAGTTAAGCGTCCGACTTCGACTCAGGTCACTATCTCGCGGTCCGTGAGTTCAAGCCCCGCGTTGGGCTCTGGGCTGATGGCTTGGAGCCTGGAGCCTGCTTTAGGTTCTGTATCTCCCTCTCTCTCTGCCCCTCCCCCCTTTCATGCTCTGTCTCTCTCTGTCTCAAAAATAAATAAACGTTAAAAAAAAAAATTTTTTTTTTAAAAACAAAAAAAACCCTTATGTGGTTTTTAATGAACTTATTTTCCCCAAACTCCATTTCGCTCTCAATTTGCCTTTTATTTCAAACATACAATAGCATATTTGAACAATTTAGAGTCTGTACTCTAAATTAAGCCCCTTTTCATTCTACCTAGTAAAATTTAGTAGGTCAGACTTCAGTGCTAAATAAGAAATTTTCAGTGTTTTCCACTTTACACACATATTATTTTTCTACAATTTATATTTCATTTTTACTTCCTCTCAAGAATCTTAGTCTGTTTTATTGCCCATCTTTTTTTTTTCTTTTCATTTTCTACATTTCGATTATCCATCCCTGTATGACAAACCACTCCAAGTTTAGCTTCAAAATGCCTATTTATTATTATGTTTTGTAGTCCTGTGGGTTAACTGGGCACAGCCGGATGGTTCTATTTTGAAGTCCCACTTAGAGCTGAGACTCCATCCACTTGAAGACTTTGTGCAGCTTGTTGTATAAGACAGCTTCTTCAGCCACATGTTTGGCTCCTGGATTAGGATGACGGAGCAGATGAGATGGGTTAGGATGACGTTCTCTTCACAGGCCCTTTTCTCATAGCCAGTGAGCTTCCTCACGACACTTTAGTCTCAGGGTAGTCTGATTTCTTACATGGTTGCCAACTTTTCGTAGAGCAGTTGTTCTAAGAAGCCTCAGGGTTTTTTGACCTAGCCTAGAAGTCATTCACTGTCCCTTTTACCATAGTACCTTACTGATTTCATAGGGTTAGCCTGGATTCACTGTGGAAAGACTACACAGCAGGTAAACAGGAGTAGTTTGTTGGGAGCATCTTTAGAGACTGGCTGGCTTGAGTAGCTGACCTGTAAAAGAAAATGTGATGGAAGAAATTCTGTTCTGCTACCTAAATTCCCTCAATTTAAGAGGTTGGTTAGAGTTTAAAGTGTAAAATAATTTAGTATGCTTAATTTCTGCATCTTAATTATTATTTATTTTGAAATAAGCAAGACAGAGATGAGTAATTGACTTGTTTTTTAAAATTATGTAATAACACTTTCCTGGGAACTCAATATTATTGTCATAGAACATCTTTAATACTGACTTTTTTTTATTTCTCAGGCTTTCCTTTTGACTTCTTGTCACTTCCACATTTTTCTGGGGAGCAACTTATACAGAGAGAGAAACAGTTAGCTAATGTCCAGGCTTTGGCTTTGAAAGAATGTCTGAGTAAGTAATGGTTTGTACATTTCATTAAATGTTTACTTGTTCAGAAATAATGCATTGTTATTGCTGTACTTTTTTTTAATTTCATTTTTAAAGTTTATTTAATTTATTTATCTTGAGAGAGTTAGAGATAGCACGACTGCGGGAGGGAGGGAGAGAGAGAATCCCAAGTATCTCTGCACTGTCAGCACACAGCCTGATGCGGGGCTTGCACCCATGAAGCCGTGAGATCATGACTTCAGCCAAAACCAAGAGTCGGACACTTAACCAACTGGGCCACCCAGGCACCCTTCACACTTTTTCTCACATTCTTTGCCTTTTAGGTATAATGCTCATTTGTAGAACTACTCTTGGTAGGGTAATGCAGAGTAGAAATGGTCTGCAACTTTTTTCCCACCAGACTTAGAATCTTTGTATTTTATTCGTACATCTCTGTTAACATTCATAAAAACGTTTCTTTAGGAAAATTTTGTATCTCATTCCCTTTAGCTATATATTGGAAAAGATACCTAACTTTTATCCTGATTGCTATAGACCTTCATTTTTATTTTACATCCAAGTTAGTTAGCATATAGTGCAATACTGATTTCAGGAATAGAATCTGGTGATTCGTCCCCTACATATAACACCCAGTGCTCATCCCAACAAGTGTCTTCCCTCATGCCCCTTGCCCATTTAGCCCATCCTCACACCCACAACCCCTCCAGCAACCCTCTGTTCTCTATATTTAAGAGTCTGTTATGTTTTGTCCCCCTCCCTGTTTTTATATTATTTTTGCCTCCCTTCCCTTATATTCATCTGCATGGTATCTTAAGTACCACATATAAGTGAAGTTATATGATATTTGTCTTTCTCTGACTACTTTCGCTGAGCATAATAGCCTCTAGTTCCATCCACATAGTTGCAAATGGCAAGATTTCATTCTTTTTGATTGCCGAGTAATACTGTATGTATACACACACACACACACACACACACACACACACACACACAGACTACATCTTTATCCATTCAGCTGTCAATGGACATTTGGGCTCTTTCCATAATTTGGCTATTGTCAATAGCACTGCTATAAACATTGGGGTGCATGCATCCCTTCAAAACAGCACACCTGTATCCTTTGGATAAATACCCAGTAATGTAACTGCTGGGTCATAGGATAGTTTTAGTTTTAATTTTTTGAGGAACCTCCATACTGTTTTCCAGAGTGGCTGCACCAGTTTGCATTCCCTCCAGCAACGCAAAAGAGATCCTCTTTCTCTGCATCCTCGCCAACATCTGTTGTTGCCTGAGTTGTTAATGTTAGCCATTCTGACAGGTGTGAGGTGGTATCATTGTGGTTTTGATTTGTATTTCCCTGATGATGAGTGATGTTGAGCATTTTTTCATGTATCTATTAGCCATCTTGATGTCTTCTTTTGAAAAGTGTCTCTTCATGTCTTTTGCCCATTTCTTCACTGGATTATTTGTTTTTTGGGTGTTGATTTTGGTAAGTTCTTTATAGATTTTGGATACCTACCCTTGATCTGATATGTCATTTGCAGATATCTTCTCCTGTTCCTTCGGTTGCCTTTTAGTTTTGCTAATTGTTTCCTTCACTGTGCAGAAACTTTCTATCTTAATTAGGTCCCAGTAGTTTGTTTTTGCTTTTCTTTTCCTTGCCTCCAGAGACATGTTGAGTAAGAACTTGCTGTGGCCGAGGTCAAAGAGGTTTTTGCCTGCTTTCTCCTCCAGGATTTTGATGGCTTTCTGTCTTACATTTAGGTTTTTCATCCATTTTGAGTTTATTTTTGTGTATTGTGTAAGAAAGTGGTCCAGGTTCATTCTTCTGCATGTCGCTATCCAGTTTTCCCAACATCATTTGCTGAAGAGACTGTCTTTATTACACTGGATATTCTTTCCTACGTTGTCAAAGATTAGTTGGCCATACGTTTGTGGGTCCATTTCTGGATTCTCTATTCTGTTTCATTGATCTAAGTATCTATTTTTGTGCCAGTACCATACTGTCTTGATGATTACAGCTTTGTAATACATCTTGAAGTACGAGATTGCCTCCAGCTTTGCTTTTCTTTTGCAGTATTGCTTTGGCTATTTAGGGTCTTTTCTGGTTCCATACAAATTTTAGGATTGTTTGTTCTAGCCTTATGAAGAATGCAGGTATTATTTTGATAGGGATTCCATTCAGTATGTAGACTGCTTTGGGTACTATCGACATTTTAACAATATTTGTTCTTCTAGCCTGTGAGCATGAAGTATTTTTCCATTTTTTTGTGTGTCTTCTTCAATTTCTTTCTTAAGCTTTCTATCGTTTTCAGTGTATAGATTCTTCTCCTCTTTGGTTAGGTTTATTCCTAGGTATTTTTATGGTTTGGTGCAATTATAAATGGGATCCATTCCTTGATTTCTCTTTCTGTTGCTTCACTATTGGTGTATAGAAATGCAGCTGATTTCTGTGCGTTGATTTTATATCCTGCAACTTTGCTGAATTCATGGATCAGTTCTAGCAGTTTTTTGATGGAATCTTTTGGGTTTTACATATAGAGTATCGTGTCATCTGTGAAGAGTAAAAGTTTGACCTCCTCCTGGCCAATTTGGATGTCTTTTATTCCTTTATGTTGTCTGATTGCAGAGGCTAGGACTTCCAATATTATGTTGAATATTGGTGGCGAGAGTGGACATCTGTGTCATGTTCTTGACCTTAGGTAGAAAGCTCTCAGTTGTTCATCATTGAGGATGATATTAGCAGTGGGTCTTTTGTATATGGCTTTTATGATCTTGAGGTACCCTTCTATCCCTACTTTCTTGAGGGCTTTTATCAAGAAAGGATGTTGTATTTTGTCAAATGCTTTCTTTGCATCTATTGAGAGGATCATATGGTTCTTGTCCTTTCTTTTATTGATGTGATGTATCACATTGATTGACTTGTGGATATTGAACCAGCCCTGCATCCCAGGTACCATGGTGAATAATGCTTTTAATATATTATTGGATCCGGTTGGCTAATATCTTGTTGAGAATTTTTGCATCCATGTTCATCAGGGAAATTGGTCTGTAGTTCTCCTTTTTAATGGGGTCTTTGTCTGGTTTTGGAATCAAGGTAATGCTGGCCTCATAGAATGATTTTTGAGGTTTTCCTTCCATTTCTATTTTTTGGAACAGCTTCAGAAGAGTGTTAATTGGATTCTTGTTTTGGGGAGATTTTTTATTACTAATTCAATTTCTTTACTTGTTATGGGTCTGTTCAAATTTTCTGTTTCTTCCTGTTTCAGTTTTAGTAGTTTATATGTTTCTAGGAATTTGTCCATTTCTTCCAGATTGCCCAATTTATTGGCATATAATTGCTCATAATATTCTCTTATTATTGTTTGTATTTCTGCAGTGTTGGTTATGGTCTCTTCTCCTTTGTTCTTGATTTTATTTATTTATTTATTTATTTATTTATTTATTTATTTTCCCTTTTTTTTGATCAGACTGGCTAGGGGTTTATCAATTTTGTTAATTCTTTCAAGGAATCAGCTTCTGGTTTCATTGATCTGTTGTACTGTTTTTTTGGTTTTGATAGCATTGATTTCTGCTCTAATCTTTATTGTCTCCTGCCTTCTGCTGGCTTGGGTTTTATTTGCTGTTCTTTTTCCAGCCCTTTAAGGTGTAAGCTTAGGTTGTGTATCTGAGACCTTTTTTCCTTCTTTAGGAAGGCATGGATTATTATATACTTCCCTCTTTTGATGCCTTTGTTGCGTCCCAGAGGTTTTGGGCTGTGGTGTTATCATTTTCATTGGCTTCCATGTACTTTTTAATTTCCTCTTTAACTTCTTGGTTAACCCATTCTTCATTCTTTAGTACAATATTCTTTATTCTTCAAGTATTTGTTGTCTTTCTAAATTTTTTCTTGTGGTTGACTTCAAGTTTTATAGCATTGTGGTCTGTAAATATGCATGCTATGATCTTGATCTTTTTGTACTTGCTGAGGGCTGATTTGTGTCCTGATATGTGATCTATTCTGGAGAATATTCCATGTGCACTGGAAAAGAATGTGTATTCTGCTGCTTTAGAATGAAATATTCTGAATATATCTGTTAAGTCCATCTGGTCCAGTGTGTCATTCAAAGCCATTGTTTCCTTATTGATTTTCTGCTTAGATGATCTGTCCATTGTTATAAGTGGGGTGTTGAAGTCCCCTACTATTATGATATTCTTGTCGATGAGTTTCTTTATGTTTCTGATTAATTGATTTATATATTTGGGTGTTCCACATTGGGAACACAAATGTTTACAATTGTTAGATCTTCTTGGTGGATAGACCCCTTAATTATGATATAATGCCCTTCTTCATCTCTTGTTACAGTCTTTATTTTAAAATCTAGGTTGTCTGGTATAAGTATGGTTACTCCAGCTTTCTTTTGGCAACCAGTAGCATGATAGATGGCTCTTCATCCTCTTATTTTCATTCTGAAGGCGTCGTTAGATCTAAAATGGGTCTCTTGTAAACAGCATATAGATGGATCTTGTTTTCTTATCAATTCTGTTACCCTGTATCTTTTGATTGAAGTGTTTGATTGGAGTTTTTAGTCCATTGACATTTAGAGTGAGTACTGAAAGATTTGAACTTCTTGCCATTGTGTTAGGCACTCCTATAGAGTTAGGAGTTTCTGGTGGTGTTTTCTGGTACTTTCTAGTCGTTGTTGCTTTTGGTCTTTTTTGTTTTCTTTCGTCTTTTCCCTCAGAGAGTCCCTGTTAAAATTTCTTGCAGGTCTGGTTTACTGGTTACCAACTCCTTTAGTTTTTGTTTGTCTGGGAAACCCTTTATCTCTCCTTCTATTTTGAATGACAGCCTTGCTAGATAAAGAATTCTTGCCTGCATATTTTTCTGGTTTAGCACGTTGAATATATTCTGCCACTCCTTTCTGGCCTGCCAAGTTTCTGTGGATAGGTCTGCTGTGAACCTGATCTGTCTTACCTTACAGGTTAAGGACTTTTTTCCCTTGCTACTTTCATAATTCTTT